TTCATAAATCCTAGTCAGTGATTCTCAAAGTGGGTCCTGGACCAGCGGCCTTACTATCCCCTTGGAGCTTTTTAGAAATGAATTAAAATCGCATCAAACCAGTCCCAGTCTCCAGCCCATCCTGGAGGTAGAATTTCAGAGATGAGCCCAGCATCTATTTGAACTACCCTTCCGCCCAAGGAGATCCTGATGCCTGCTCAAATTTGGGATGCACTGCCCTATTTTATCAGATTTAGTAATCAGGCCTTAAGAGGCATGACAGCACAGCTATTATCCCAGCATTTAGGAGGCTGAGGCAGGAGGATCATAAGTTCAGGCCCAGCCTGGGCAATTTAGAGTCTTAGCAAGACCCAGTCTCAAAAATGCAGAGGTTAGGGATAGCTTAGTGCAAAGGTCCTGGATTCAGTCCCTGGAACTACAAAAACCACAAAAGCACTAGACAAAAATCACTTGAAGGCAGTGGTTTTAATCTGCCTGCTTGGCTTTCTCACAGCTCCAGATGCTTGGGCATAAGACCAGGGTGAGGTTGCTGTCTGCCATGCCTTCTTTGAGGTCTCCCTGACAGCAACCTTCCTGTGTGTCTACATATGGCTTTTTCCCTGTGCTTGTGTCTTCTTTCTGATCCTCCTCCTAAAAGCAGACCGGCACTGCTAGGCCCTGAGGCTGCACTTAACCTTACGTACCTAATGAAGACTGTTTCCCCACATAGGCACATCGGAGGCTGGTGGGCTGCACTGTTCGGTCCACGATAACAGCAACAATATTTGAATAAATTAAACGTTGTAGAAAAAAACAAGTTTTACCTTTTTATTTTTTTTTTTTATGTTTTGTATCGGGGATAGAACTTGGGACCTTGCATTTGCAAGGTAGGCAACGGAACTACTGAGCTAAGTCCCTGCCCCTTAGTTTTACCTTTTGAAAGATAAGTAGTTAGTCCAGTGGACCATCATTTTATTTAGCCTTTCCTTGAGAAATTGTTCCAGCAGCATTACCAAGTCTTTAATCCATTGGTTTGTGCTTTAATTAACAACAGCAGGGGCCGGGAATTTAGCTCAGCGGTTCGGTGGTCTGCCTTGCAAGCACAAGGACCCGAGTTCAATCCCTGGTACCAAAAAAAAAGATAATTAGCACCAACAGCCTTATCACATTTTATGCTACCTGTTTTTTGTTATGCTGGGCCTCATTCTAGGCAAGTGCTCTGACTTTCAGCCTGTTTTACTTTTTTTTTTCTTCCCTTGGTACTGGGGATTTTGAGCTCAGAACCTGCACTTGTTGAGGAAGGCAGGTCTCCACTGAGATGAATCCCCAATCCATTGAGGTTGTCAATTAAGAACTAATCCCAAGGCTGTGGATGTAGCTCAGTGGTTCTGGCTACCTGCCTTGCAAGGGTAAGGGTACTGAGTTCAACTCCTAGTCCCCTCCCACCCCCAAAAATGCATTCCTGTAATCTTACCTATTTGAGAGGCTGAGGCAAGAGAACACAAATTCTAGGCCAGTTTGTGCAACTTTGTGAAAACCTTTCTCAAAATTTAAGTAAAGGCTGGGGATGTACCTCAGAAGTGCAGTTTTTGCCTAACCTGTGTGAGGGCCTTAGTTCAATCTCCAGTACTGTGCTCCCTTTCCAAAAAAAAAAAAAGAAAATTAGAGTTGTTAAATTTGGAGCCTGGTCTGCAGACATTTAGCTCAGTGGTGTCACCACCTGCTTCACAAGTGCAAGGTCCTGAGTTCGATCCCTGGTACCAAAAAAAAAAAAAAAAGAAATTTGGAGCCCAACATTAGAAGATCTTCATTTACATTTTTCCCCTGAAACCCTAATTGGCCCAAATGGTTGGCTGCCTGCTTGAATCAGGAGTGTTGATTTTTTTCTATAAACAAGAGGCTGAAAACAGCTCACCTTTTATTTTCTCTGTTCTTCCCTTTCTTCATTTTCCTTGTTCTTTTTAAAAATTTTTTTATAAAAATTGTGATTAAAAACTGTAAAATTTGCATTCTTTTGGTTTTTTTGAGACAGGGTCTCATTGTGTATGTAGTTCAGGCAGTCTTGAACTCTATGTAGCCCAGCGTGGCCTTAGACTCACTTCGTTAATTCTGCCTCAGCCTCAGCCTCACAAGTGCTAGGATCACAGGTGAACACTACCACACCCAGCAAAATCTATATTCGTACATATTTAAATGTACACTTCAGTGATGTTAAACATTTCTATTATTGTGAAGCAAATCTTCAGAACTTTTCATTTTGGAGAATTGAAACTGTGTGTTCATTAAATAACAAACGCCTTTCGCTGTTTCCCCAGCTTGTTTACAGTTTTACTTTCTCTGTATATTTGACTGAGATACTTCATATAGTGGAGTCATGTAGTATTTGATCTTTTGTGACTGCTTTGTTTTCCTTAGCATAGTGTTTTCAAAGGGCACCCGTGTGATGCATGTGACAGGATTTCCTTCAGGACTGAACAGTATTCCCTTGTATGTATATTGCATATTTTGTTTATCCGTCCATCCATTATTGGACATTTGGGTTGCTTTTCCCTCTTGGCACTGCAGATGTGCTCTGCCATGCCTGGTTTCAGACTTGAGTGTGTTTACAGTATTTTTATCATAGTGACTTTTAGTTGAAATTACGTTTTTTGTTGGTTTTAGAATATGGAAAGGAATTATACTCAGAGAAAGCAAACCACCGGCCCAAGTAATTGTGGCAGTCCAGGAGAACAGTGAGCATAGTCCATAGTTTGTTCAAAGGAAAACAATATTTACATGCTTTTTACTTTATTGTTATTACGATGATTTTTGTTTTCTTTTTTGAGATAGGATCATGCGTTGTAGTTCAGGTTGGCCTTAAACTCATATGTAGTTTAGTCTGGACTGTAATTTATAGTGATCCTCTTGCCTCCAGTCCTGAGTGCTGGGATGACAGGCATTTGGTGCCATGCCTGGCTTACATGCATTTTAGGGTGTTTTTGTTTTGTTTTGTTTTTTTGTGAGGCATGCCTTTTTGGGAGAGCAGAAAGCAAACATGAGTAATGAACCTTGGTGTGCATGAAGGAGGTGGGAAGTGTCCTGACTGGAGTCAGTGAGGGTTTCTTGGGAATGCCATGTAGAGCTTTCTGAGGTAAAGCATTCTGGTACCTAGAAGGCAGAAGTTTGCAAGAAAAAGTATTAGGGTGACTGTTAGTTACTTTTCTCTTGTTGCTGAGACACAATACCTGACACCCAGAGTTAAATAGAAAGGTTTATTGGGCTCACAGTTCATAGAGGTTTCGGTCCATAATCAGCAGGTTCTAAGGCAGGGTGACAGAGGGGCAGCAGTTTATGGAAGCAGAACACAGCAAAAGCAACAAGGAACCTTAACAGTGTCTTTCTGCACCTTTTATATTATTCACACTTACCGGGATTAGGTTGGTGCCAAACCAATCACTCAACACATAGTGGTTTTGTGATCACACACCCTTAATCCTAGCAACACACATAGCAGATTTAGCTATCTTTCAAAAAGATTGCGTGAGGCTTTGGGGGGACATCTAGACACAAGCCATGACAGGTGACAAACCTGTCACTTGGGTGTAGGATGGCTTCAGAGAGTAAGAAATGAAGCCATTATTAGTAATACAGGCCATTGGTATCCTGATTCTAGCAGTAGAGAAAAAGAAAAGGCTAGGGTTGATTGGGTGGACAGAGGTGTTAAAGGAGTAAAGGCTACTCTGCCCTGTGTTAAAAGTTTGTATACACGCATATGTTTTGCTCTTGCAGTTGTGTATTTTGTACTTGTTTCTTTACCAGCCTCTTGGCTCTGTCTTCGCGGGTCTCAGAACAAAATGCACGTACTACCAAATTACGTACATCCATGTGTCTTAGTTTTTATTTTTTAGATCTGTGGTCCTGGGAAAGGGCCCACTTACCACCCAGATAACCTAATATAGTATACTACAGGCCTAAGTGTTTAGAAGATAGCCAAAAGTAGCTAGGCTTTGGTTTATTTTTTGTTTTTTACTTTTTGGTACTTTTTTGAACTTAGGACCTTGCACTTGCGAGGCAGGCGGTGGCACCTCTGAGCTAAACACCTGGCCCTAGTTTAATATTTTCTTGTGGAATTCTAAAGCCCCAATTAGAAAATAGATTATCTATCCTTGATGACTTTGGAGCAACACAGCAATGTCTGTAAGTTTTCATGTGAAGTGAGGTATCTCCTTTTTCTTTGTAATGTTTTAACCAGTACTCAGGGTAAATTAGTATGTGATAGGACGTTTGTCCATTGTAAAATACTTAAGAATGGAAGAAGTTTGAATGCCCTACATCTCCCATAGCTAGTATGATAGTCTGTGTGGAATGGTCATACATATTTATGTTGTTTTGACATCTTGTTAAAGTTGCATCTTTTTAAATGTGTGTTTGATAGTAGAGTTTGAATCCAGGTACCACTGAGCTACATCTCCAGTGCTTTTATTTTTAAAAAATTGAGACAGGGTTTTGCTTAGTTACCCAGACTGGCCTCAAACTTCTTGATCCTCTTCCTTCAGCCGCCCCAGTAGCTGGAATTACAGATGTGCATGACCACTCCCTGCTTGAAATCACATCCTTACCTGATTGTTAGGAAAACCCCTTAATCTTTCCTTAAGAGTTTCTTTCGGCGCTTTGATTTGGAAGCCTTAATTTTATATATTTGATTGTTTATTAATTTTTTTTTTGAGACAGCATCTCACTACGTAATTCAGGCTGCCTTTGAACTTACTATGTAGTTCAGGCTGGCCTCCAACTCACTTCAGTCTTCCTGCCTGAGCTTCACAAATGCTGAGATCACAGGAGTGTATCATCATGCCTTAAATTTTTTTTTTTTTGGTCCCAGAGATCAAACTCAGGACCTTGTGCTTAGTTGGCACAACTGACCTAAACCCCTGGCCCTGGAAACCTTAACTCTTAATTGGGGTAAGGGGAAGGAAAAGATAAATGGTTTACATGAAATTTAAAATAGGAGCAGCACATTTAATTTACTACCCCTTTTTTAGATCATGGAAGGGAAGTGGTTACTGTGTGTGTTACTAGTCCTCGGCACTGCTGTTATTCGGGCTCATGATGGACATGATGATGATATGATTGACATTGAAGATGACCTTGATGATGTCATTGAAGAGGTAGAAGAGTCAAAATCAAAACCAGATACCAACAGTCCTCCATCTCCAAAGGTTTGATTTTAAAATTTTATTTATTTATTGGTGAACCCAGGGCTTTCACACTGAGCTATGTCTCTAGCCCTTCAAAATTTTTTTTTTTTTTACTTTGAGAGTTTCCTGGGTTGGGCTTGAACTTGTAGTCCTCCTTCCTCAGCCTCTTGAGTGCTGGGATTACAGGTGTGCTCACCACATCCAGCTCTCCTTTTATCTCTTGAAATTATGAAGATACAGGGTCAGTGGTGGAATATTTGCCTTGCAGACACAAGGCCCTGGGTTCAATCCCCCAACATTGAATGGAAGAAAAAACTGATGAAGTGATGATACATTTGGATCTTTTTTATTTTTTAAAATTTTTAGTGTTTTCTTTTGTTTTAAGACAGTGTCTCACTAAGTAATTCAGGCTGGCCTTAGTCTCACTCTGTAGGCCAGGTTGACCTCATACTCATAGTGATCCTTCTACCTCAGCCTCCCCACTGCTGGGATTACAAACATGTGTTACTGTCACTGACATTTGGATCCTTTTCAGTGGAAAAGCAAAATTTGCTAAAATACCTAAACTGATCCTCTCAGGTAGCCTTGCTAGATCTTCAATTCAGGGGCCTGCTGTGAAAGTTTTGTGATAATTAAAATCAAGCCAAGAAAATAAATTCTAAGGAATGTTGCTAAAACTATTGTTAATTCATTTTTATGTTTAACACAGGTTACCTACAAAGCTCCAGTTCCAACAGGAGAAGTTTATTTTGCCGATTCCTTTGACAGAGGATCTCTGTCTGGGTAAGTGTCTTCTTAGGGAGAAAAATCTTTATTTTTTATTTTTATTTTTTGTGATATCTGGGATCAAACTCAGGACCTTGCATTTGCCAAGCAGGTGGCAGCACCACTGAGCTATATTTCCAGCCCATTAGGGAGAAAAATCTTTGCTTTTTTTTTTGTACTGGGGATCGAACTCTGGTCCTTGTACTTGCGAGGCACTGAACTAAATCCCCAGCCTAGGGAGAAAAATCTTAAGAGGCAAATATCATGTAACTAAGATGGAATAGCAGATCCGTTTTGGATAGCATTTTATCTCATGAAATATGTAGCTCTTCTATCTGGAATGTTTATATCCACTCCGGAAATTAAAGTAGTCTTTTGGAACTTGTGACTTCTTGCATCTATTCCTTTCCTTTTCCCTTTTCACCCTCAATTTTGTTGTTTTGGAAACCTTTTTTCTTGAGTCCTTAAAAAAAACATAGAATTATCTCATGAGCTTGGCATTTTTTCTTATAGGTTTGTGAGTTAAATACAATATAATCTCACTATTTATTTGTGTGACAAATTTAAATGTTGAAAGAGTACCAGTAAATTTAGGAGGCCAGTGCCTCATCCAGTAGGCAACTGGGGCTTCTGAATACCTGTAAATTTGGTGGGGGGAAACAAAAAAAGTTGAAAGAAGCGTGGCAGACTAGGCTAAGAAACCAGGCTGTAATCTCTTTTTTTTCTTGAGCATTTGTACCGTTTCTTTTCACATTTCAACTGTTATTTTTTAAATCTTAATTTTGAGGTTTGTCTTGATTATAGGTGGATTTTATCCAAAGCCAAGAAAGATGACACTGATGATGAAATTGCCAAATATGATGGTGAGAATCCCATGTGGTCCAGATACAACAGCAGAGCAAGGGGCATGTTTTTGCCATGGTGTCACTTAGGAAGGACTGCTTCAGCTGGGGTGGTGTGCACGCCTATAATCCTAGCACTTGAGAGAGTGAGACCAAGAGCATTACAAATTGAGCCCAATCAGAGCAGTGTGGCAGTTTAACAGTTTAGTAGTTTATCTTAAAGAGATAAAAAGAAAAGGTTGAGCACGGTGCTGCACAGCTGTAGTCCAAGCCGTTGGGAGGCTGAGGTAGGAGAATTGCCACAAGTTCCAGGCCAGCCTGAGCTATGTAGCAAAACAACAAAAAAACAAAACAAAACAAAAAAGATGAAAAGGGCTGGGATGTAGCTCAGTGTGAAGCCCTAGGTTTAATCCTTAGTACTGGGGGAAAAGAAACCAAACCCCACCTCGTTTAAAAGGAGAAATATTTTAAGATTTTTCCTTTAGAAATTGTGCCATCTTTGTGTTGCCTTTCATGTGATAGGGCTCAACCTGTTTAATCACTTTGTGATGCCTCATATTATAAATGGAAAGTTTTGAGCCAGGCATGGTGGCACACGCTAGTAATCTTAGCGCTCAGAAGGCTGAGACAGGAGGATTACTACAGTTCAAGGCCACCCCAGGCTACATGGTGAGTTCAAAGTCAGCTTGAACTACATAATGTCTCCAAAACCAAATACAAAGAAATGGAAGGTTTTTTACTGGGCAATGGTATAAAAGATATAGTGTCTTTAAAATATTATATCCTGTTTTTTCAATATATGCGTTTAATGCTGATAACCGAACTTTCATAGATAATTGGAATATGTTCAAAAAAATCATTGTGATGGTATACTTGGAGTTTAGTTTTTACCATTTAAAAGACCTGCAGAGATGCTGTGAAGGAGTGGAGAGCCCTATTGTGTTGTCTTGTAGGAAAGTGGGAGGTAGATGAGATGAAGGAAACGAAACTTCCAGGAGATAAAGGACTGGTATTGATGTCCCGGGCCAAGCATCACGCCATCTCTGCTAAACTGAACAAGCCCTTTGGATTTGATATCAGGCCTCTCATTGTTCAGTAAGTGAAATGCTTATTTGATAAAAGCTATTTCGAAGAGGTAATCTTAGAAAAATTTATTTTATTGAAAGAAAGTAAATACCATTACTCTATTTGAAAAGTTTATGAGATTGTATAAATTATAATAGGGTTATTTTAAGTGAATTTAAGCATTTTGAAGTTTTTTTTCCCACTCATTAGAATATTTTGAAACAAACTGGTCATTCACCCTCCTGATAATGAATGTCTGGATTTTGAAAAAATTAATTTTACTTTGTGGGATTGATTAGCCATCTAAAAGTAAAAGAAGGTGGAATCATTCTAAAAGTATTATGATCTGTGATAAAACACAACCAGGATTGGGGAAACATTACCAGATTTGTTCTAAAATGACAGGGTTTTCTGCTTGTCTTTCTGGAATTAGGTATGAAGTTAATTTCCAAAATGGCATAGAATGTGGTGGTGCATATGTGAAACTGCTTTCCAAAACACCAGAGCTCAACTTGGTGGGTACTTGTTTTTTTATTTTATTTATTTAATTTTTGACAGCAAAATGTCTTTATTTGAGGTTCCAGGGTGGGGCAGGGCCCCCAGAGTCCAGTTTTCCCTGCAGCCCTGTGCCAGGCCACCCTGCACAGTTCCACTGGCTCCCCAGACAGGAAGTTAGACGTGCAGGTTCCCAAAGGGTACGAAGCCCGCCATGTCCTGGGTACTTGTTTTTTTAATGTGGCTGACCAAATTTTTTCTACAGAATCTTAGAGAAAAAGGAAAGAAAAATTGTAAGATCTATGAAAATAATGACCAACTCCTTCCTTGCTGCTGAAACCTTTGGAGGGTTAGCAGTATTGCTTTTGGTGCTAATTTGCTTTTTGTTTTTGTTTTTGACACTGGGGATTGAACTTGGGTCCTTGCACTTTGTGAGGCAGGTAGCAGAACCACTGAGCTAAATCCCCAGCCCCTAATTTGCTTTTTATTTGAAATGTGACTTATGTTTTCCATGATTTTCGTTCTATGTAATTTTTGGATTTAGCTATTTTTTTTTTTTTTTTCTTTAAATTTGTGAAAGAGTCAGTAACTAAGCGGGGTGTAGTGGTGCATGTCTATATAGTCCCAGAACTTTGGGAGGCTGAGGCAAGAAGAATCCTTTGTCTGAGCCCAGGGCAAGTTAGTGACTTAGCAAGACTGTCTCAAAATAAAAAATAAAAAGAACTGGGAATGTGGTTCAGTGCAGAGGCCCTAGGTTCAATTATTCGTACTGGGAGGGGAGGGGAGGGGGAAGCAGTTAATTAGATGTGTTTTATCACTTTGTTTTTAAGCATGCAGATATATTATAAATTTTCTCATGATTACTAGTTATTCCTTTTTAGTGATATATAAAACCTTACTACACAATCCGCTTTGCCTTTAATTGTGACTAATTTATTTAGTGTTTTATGAGAGGAACTATCTTATACTTTTGAAAGGTTGATTTTGAATATGTTGACTAGAGCTACTTAAAAGTAATTCATCTTTGTTTTTGAAGGATCATTTTCACGACAAGACCCCCTATACGATTATGTTTGGTCCAGATAAATGTGGAGAGGACTATAAATTACACTTCATTTTCCGACATAAAAATCCGAAGACGGGTGTATATGAAGAAAAGCATGCCAAGAGGCCGGATGCAGATCTGAAGACCTATTTTACTGATAAGAAGACCCATCTTTACACATTAAGTAAGAAAAACCAGTTGTTGGGGGTTTTAAAGCACTACAGATTTATTATTTAATGTACATATTACATATCTGGACAGAACTCAAGTCTGCAAGCAAGAAGAGGTTTTTGTCAGTGTGGTGTGGTGCATTCCTATAACCCTAGCTAAACAGGAGGATCAAGAGTAGGAGACCAGCCTGAGGCTGAGGCAAGAGTTTGAAGCCAGCCTGGGCTACCTAGTGAGTTCAAGCCTAGTCTGAACTACATAGCGAGACCCTGTTTCCAAAAAAGTAACCAAAAAAGAAAGAGGTGGAGACTGGTTTAGGCAATTTAGGAGAGATCCTGTCTCAAAGTAAAAGTTTTTTGTTTTGTTTTGTTTTGTTTTGTTTTTGACGAGGGGTACTGGGGATCAAACTCCGGTCCTTGCATTTGCGAGGCAGGCAGCATAACCACTGAGCTAAATCCCTGGGCCTCAAAGTAAAAGTTTTAAAGATGGGCTGGGGAATGTAGCTCAGTGGTAGGATGGATATATATATATATATATATATATGTATAGAGGGGGGGGAGGGAGAGAGAGAGAGAGTGTGTGTGTGTGTGTGTGTGTGTGTGTGTGTGTGTGCAGGTGTTTAGCATGCTTAAGGCCCTACCTAGGTCCAAGCCCTGGTACTACAAAAATGGGTCTTGACTGTAATTGCCTTGGTGGTAGAATGAGCTCACTTGGCAGCATGAAAAAGTTACTTCTTGGATCGGGGATTTAGCAGTGGTTCTGCCAGCAGCCTCTCAAGCACAAGGACCCGAGTTCGATCCCTGGTACCAAAAAAAAGAAAGAAAAAGTACTTCTTTTCAGTAGCTTGGCTGAGAGTGAGCTTTTGGAGGGATGGGCTATCTTAGTGGTAGAGCACTTGCCCTATATGCAGGAAGCCTTGGAGTCCATCCTCAATACCATGGAAAACTTTATATCCCATTAATAGTTCCTTCACCAGTCCCCCTCATTTTCTGCCTTCATTTAGTTTCTTGCTGGGAAAATGTTAAATAATGGCACATAGAGTAGCAAAACATAGATAGATTCTCAAAATTGTCTTCAGATGAACTCTTTTTGGATGCTTTAACACCTGGACAGTTAAGACTAATCACCTGGACACTGGGAATATATAGATATAGACAGATAGATAGACATTTCATTTATGTATTTATTGGTACTGGGGATTGAACATGGGTCCTTGCACTTGCAAGGTAGGTGGTGGAACCACTGAGCTAAATTCCTCTTGTTTTGTTTTTGTTTGGTGCAACTGAGCTAAATTCACCATTCATTTTTATTTGTTTTTTTGTTTGTTTGTTTTTGAGACTGAGTCTCCATTAGGTATCTTTGGCTGGCCTTGAACTCGGAGCAGCCCTACTGCGTCATTCTCCCACATGCTGGCATTATAGGCATGTGCCACCACTCAGTATTTTTTTTTTTGTAGAGGTGGATATTGGGGATTAAACTCTGGCCCTTGTGAGGCAGGTAGTGGAACCACTGAGCCAAATCCCTGGTCTATTTTTGTTTTCTTTTTTTAAATGAAACTTTTCCTGTGGCTTTGAGATTATATGTAGACATGTCTCTTTTAAGAATATAATAATCTTTTTTTTTCTTTATTACCAAAGCAATACTTATTGAAGGCATAGAAAATCAGAAGATAAAAATAAGCAGAAAGAGATATCTAAAATAAAAACATGTGTTTCTTAGTATGTATAAACAAAGACGTAACATTGTATAAAAAGTTAAATGTTAGGCCAGAAATTTAGCTCAGGGTTTTCTCTCCCTGCCTTCCAAGTGCAAGGGCTCAAGTTTGAATTCTGTCCCTGGTAGCAAAAAAAAAAAAAAAAGTTAAATGTTATGTTTAACTTGCTTTCTTCTGTGTGGGTGTGGGTGTGGGTGTGGGTGTGAGTGCTGGCTTTGAACCCAGGATCACTGATCCTCAGCTCAGCCCTTTTTATGTTCTATTTTGGGATATGTTCATACGTAATTGATCAGGCCGATCTGGAATTTACAGTCCTCCTTCCTTGGTCTCTCAGGTAGCTTAGATGATAGGCATATGTCACATACCTGGCTTTAACTTGCTTTTTGTTTTTTGAGATAGGACCTCATTGTAATTATCAGACTGGCTTTGAACTCAATATATATCACAGTTTGGCTATGGTGATCCTCCTGCCTCACTCTCCCAAGTGCTGGCTTTAACTTGCTTTCTTAACTATACAAGAATGTGAGAATCTTTCCCATGGCAGTATATATTTCATTATTGTTGTTATGCAGCACTGGGGAGGCTGAAGCAGGAAGATTGAAAGGTCAGCTGGGGCTACATAGTCTGGCCAGCCTGGACTACACTGTCTATATAGTGAGACTCTGTTGCAAATCAAAAAAACAAAGGAACAGAAAAAAACTTCTGTTGACTGGTTTGCCCCAATTCATGTGAGACCAATGAGGTGTTTTGGTGTTAAAAATTTTAAGGATCATTTGTTACACTTCTTAGAAACTTGAGGAAGTGGCATTTACACTTGGCACAGTTTCTCTGATCTGAGCTGAGCATGGTGGTGCACCCCTGCACAGATCTTCCTCATTTAATGACTGAGATAGGGTCCCATGACCGAGTTGTTAAATGCATTGGTTGCTAACCGAAGAGTTGTATATAGTATGTACGTTATTTAGAACAAAGAAATGGTCAAAGGTAGCTCCAACTTGATAACTCTGCTTTTGTTTGTATAACTCTTACATGCAGTGCTGTAACATAAAACTACAGTACTATACAGTACGGTCAGCAAAAATTACAGTACTATATAAACAAGGAATAATGTGTGAAAAAAGATATTGAGGCTCTATAAACAGGGTGTGCAGAACTGTACAAAAAAAGAGACAGGTTTTAATTTTAAGTCTGAACAGTCAAAGTAGGTGGGTTAAATTGAGGAATATCTGTAATCCCAGACGTGGTAGGTGGAGAGAAGATTGCAAGTTGAGGCCAGTTTAGAGTACATAGTGAGACCCTGTCTAAAGCTGCCTCCACCCTGCAAAAAAAAAAAAAAAAGACCTCAGGAGTCAGGCGTTGTTGGCCATGTTCTGACCCAGTGCCTGATGAGATTTCTTCATGCTTCTGCGCTGTTCCTTTCCATGAGAGGTCACAGTCTTTCTTTATTTTATTTATTTATTTATTTTTTTGGTAATTGGAAATTGGGAATAAGTGGCTAATTAAATGTTTTATTTACTTTTTTTTTTAAACAGTCTTGAATCCAGATAACAGTTTTGAAATATTAGTTGACCAATCTGTTGTGAACAGCGGGAATTTGCTAAATGACATGACACCTCCTGTAAATCCTTCACGAGAAATTGAGGACCCAGAAGACCGGAAGCCTGAGGACTGGGACGAACGACCTAAAATACCAGATCCAGATGCTGTCAGGCCAGATGATTGGTGAGCCTTGGCAACTCATCTTTGAGGATAACAGCATTTTGTGTATCCCACATGGCTTGGAGAAGCAAATGTTGAGGGCCTGAGATCTGACCACCCAGGAGTAGATATAGATTATTCCAGCTAAAAAGGAGCCACAGTGATAATCTAGATTGTCTCACTCTTGTAAACCATGAGATGAAGTTGATGATAATTTGCTTGTGTTTTGGTTTGTGGCAGAATATCTTAGCCTAGCCATCCAGTGCTTCTTCATTTTTAATTGTTGTGTTTTGGCAGTAGGGATTGAACCTCACCAGTGCTTTCAATCCATATTTAAAGCTAAAGTCCTTAAATGTTAAAATTTAATTTTAAAAAGTCTTTTTCCTCTTTAAACAGTATTGCAAAGTCTCTGCTTTTTGTATTGGATAGAGAATACAAAGCCCAAATGACGTATACACATGCTCCCAGTACATTTGTGAGATAGGTAAATAAAATCAGCATGAGTGTGGTAGGTGCTCTATGAGAAAAGGCGCTGCTAGGTGACCAGAGCACCAGATATGACCAACCTGGCTGGTTTCTTGGAGCAGGGCAAAGCAAATCGAGACCTGAACACAGTGTGGGATGATGGGAACAGGCATTCTTCATTGAAGAGCAGCATCATTTGTAGAAGCAGAGGAACAGGAATAAACTGGACATGTGGGAGAATTAAGTATTACAGTATTTCCGGGCCAGGGATTTAGATCAGTGGCACTGTGCCTGCCTCACAAGCACAGGGTCCTGAGTTCAGTCCCCTGGTACCAAAAAAAAAAAAAAAAAAAGTATTACAGTATTTCCTTTGGTTGTAGGGTGGAAATTGGAGAATGATGGGTTCATACTCTGCTGTATGGCTACATTTAACTCTAGTACAGGAACTTCCAGAAATGTCAGGAAGTTTAAAAAAAAATAGAACTCATCTCACTTTTTGTGAAAGTATCCTCCTATGGTTAGCAATTAAAATTTATTTAGGTACCAGGAATTAAACTCAAGTCCTTGCTCTTGTGAGGCAGATGGTGTCACCACTGAGCTAAATCCCTGGCCCATTTAAATTTAATTTTTTATCCCATTCACCCCCTCAAGCCCCCTCCCATTCCTGTGGTACAAAAGTTCTGTTTTCATTTCAGTTAAATTTTAGTTTTATTTCTCTTTGGAAGTTGCCATATATGTTCCTAAACTTTTATGATGCACTAGTGGAAATACTATTTATTTGTGTATATGATGAACAGTAGATTTGGACTCAGCCATGTTCAGTATTATATTTTCTAACTAGTGTTTCATTTTGGTAATTGGAATGGTGAGCAGTTGAAAAGGTTCAAGTGATTGCTGAGCATGGTGGCATACACCTGTGATCCCAGCACTGGGGAGGCTGAATCAGGAGACTTCTAGGCCAGCCTGGGCAGCACAGTGAGAATCTGTCTAAAAACGAAAGCAAAGCCTGGTGTGACACACGCCTGTAATCCCAGCCCTGAGGGAGGGTGAAGCAAGAGGATTGTCCTGAGTTTAAGGCCAGCCTGAGTTACACAGTGAGTTCAGGGCTACTGGACTACATAGCAAGACTGTCTCAAAAAGAAACAAAATGACAACAGTAACAAAAAACAAAAGCAAAACAGGTGAACGTTAAACAGGTTTTTGAAGTTTTCATTGTTAAATCTGACCTGGTTGTAAAACAAGTGATCTGGGCTGGGCATCTTGCTCAGCACAGGACGAATCCCTAGCACCAAAAACACAGTTAAGCTGATGTAAGATGAAGGGCTCTTTGGTTAGCAACTAAAGTGGTATTGTCTTACAGCAGTTACACAAAACTCTGAAATCATTATGTGTGTGTGTGTGTGTATATATATATATACATTACACATATATAACGTGTGTATACACACACACATTTATAAAGCTTTGTTGTACAGAATGTTAAAGTGCTGTTACAATTTCATTGTTGTCACTGTTAGCCACAGTGGCTGACTAACCACTCACAGCTGTCCTCGCCACAGCAAAAGTCTTACAAAGAAACACGAAGAGCTAAGTACATTTAGAATTTTGTTGGGGCAAAGTCCCCAAGCTTGGCAGTAGATTACCAAGAAGCACTATGCGGAAGAAGGTGGAATATCACAGTAACTATTCTTTGGCTCTCTGTGAGAGTGGGTGTCCTGGGTTTGTATTACAGCTACCTATTTTTTGTTTTTGTTTTTTTGTTTAACAGCTACCAAATCCGTGAGCAGTCCGCCAATACTGACTGAACAGTTCTCTTTTTGCAGGTTATTTGGGGTCTTAATCATCACTTCCTTCATCATGTTTTTTTTTTCCTCTTTACATCAGTCTTTTCTGCTTTCTTCCTCCCTTTGTCTTCATCAATTTCTCTATTATCCAAATTCTTCTTCCTTACTGACTTCATTTTCTTCCCCTTCTCTGTCTCCCATCTTTATCCTCTTCATCGAACTCTTTCCCCTCACTGTCGTCCTCATCGTCCTTGACTTCCTCCTCTTGTCCTCCATCTTAACTCCTCTTCGTCTACACCATCCACCTCAGCCTCTGACTGGGGCTTCCTGGCCTTCTCTGTTATACCTGTCCAGGAACCTCAGTTTCTCAGTAGTCATTCAGGTTGGTAACCTCATGGTTAAACAGATCCAGGCTTTTCAGTCTACTTTTTTCAAAGATTCCAAGGTGCTAATATCTTTCAGGTTATTTCCACTTCAGTGTATGTGTGAGATTTGGAAGTTTTTCTTCTAACATATCCAAACTTGGAAGATTCTACAGCCACTGAGTTTTTAAATTTAGGTAGCTTGGGGAGTTTTGATACTGAAATCAAGCATATATTTATTAAGCTGAGGAACTCTTTTTGTTCAAAAATTCAGCTGTTAATCCCTCAAGTTTTCTATCATGTGATTTGCAGTTGTGCAAGAAGGTTCTCTGATTCTTCAGCTCCAGATGGATCCTGGTCTTCATGTGCATGTTCCCCTCATCTCCTCTCTTCGTACTTCACTTTCTGAGGCTAGGGTGGGGGCATCCTGTGTAGCCAGGGCAGTGGGAGGAGCAGTGAGCAGAGTCCCTGAGCCAGGGTACTTGCAGGAGTGGGAAGAGACTGTAGAGGTTAAACGCATAGTACATGTTTTTGTTGATGGAATTCTATGACTACTTTTTGTGTGTGTCTGTGTACTGGTACTGGTGGCTTGAACTCAGGACTTTGCACTTGTGAGGCAAGTAGCAGCTGCAGTGAGCTAAATCCCTGGCCCACTATGAATATTTTTCATCACATTGGTGTTTAACGTATTAACAGTGTTATGTAGTTATCCGCACTGTCCACTTTTAGGGTGTTTGTGTTATCCCGAACACTCCAGCACCTAGCAACTGGGTTCTGCTCTGAACTTTCTGGATTTGCGGTCTGGACAGCACGTGTAAATGGAATTAGTAAAATTTGTGGCCATTTGTGTCTGGCTTCTTTCAGCACAGCTTTCATCATTCATCTATGTTAAAGCTTGCTTAAAGACTTGATTTCTTTTTTTTTTTTTTTTTTTTTTTTTTTT